GCGCCATCTCCTTACAAGGAGATGGCTGGCGCTGCTGGGAGTCGTATTCAAGTTGCACATAACCAATGTTTGACCCGCTGTGTCCCAATGTTTGATATTTCATCTCTTCATATTTCTAGCTTCCTGTTATGCAGTCTGCTACTAAAGATAGGTGTTATGTGCCGTAGTGTTTGTGTGTGTCTTTCTCTCTCTCCCTCTGATTCCCCAGGTGCAGCCTGATTGTCCCCAGGTGCAGCCTCTCCCCAGGTGCTCCAAATTCCCAATCAGGGCCTCCTTAAAGGACCTGAGGAAGGCTGCAGTGGCCTCTCTCTTTCTCCTCTGGCTGCACGGGTGCAGCACGACGTCTTCGTCTTTGTGTGGGACCTGTTTGTCTATCATTGGTGGATTAAATCTCATTTTGGTGACTTCAGAGATCAGTTTCCTCTCTTTTTTCTCGTGCTGGTCGTTCTGTGTTTTGTTACTCCCCTTCGTACCCCTAGATTTTGGAGGGAACGTAACAAATGGGGGCTCGTCCGATCTTTGAGACAAAGAGTGAGTATCTGTTTGTGGTTTAGCGTTGATATTGTGTTTGGTAGCATTGGCTGTGAAGTATCTTGCTGTTTAAAAGCTTCCTCAGTTTAGACAGGGGAGTGTCTAGCTGGGCTCAGTCTTTCCTTCAGGCACTCATTTTTTATTTTGCCTTTTTTATTTTCGGGGTAATCCTGGGTGGGGATTTATTCCCTGTTGGGGGCAGGCGTTTCAGGGTTTCGGCCGCTGATGTTTGCCTTTAAAGTCGCCTCGAGCCCGGCACGCTCCAGAAGATAGTTAGGTAAGTTTGGTAGGCAGGATCTGGGGAAGTTTGTTAAAAAAAAAAAAAAAAAAAAAAAAAAAAAATTGTAAGTAGCCGCTAAGGATGGCTTTTGTTTTGGAGCAGTTTGTGGCCAGTCCTACTGTGGGTCAGCTAGACTGGTGTAGGAAGGTTGATTTGCGGTTAGTTGCTGACCATTATCACGTTTCTGTCTCCTCTGCTCTTGTTAAAAGTGAACTCAAGGCTACTTTGCTAACGGGACTAGTTGAACAGGGGGTTTTGAGTCTGCCTACTTTAGTGGAATCTCCTGGAACGGTGGCCGGGGCTGTAGCAGCAGAGTCTCCTGGTGGAGGCCGCGTTGGTGTTACTCCAGGTGTTCAGAGTGCTACGGAACAGGCAAAACTTTTCAACATGCCTCAGTTTGACTCGTTTTCGGCAGGGTCCTCACCTACGGGGTCTAAATTAGATGCCAGGGTAAAAGTGCGTATGGCTCGTCTCCAGTGGGAGAAGGAGGAGCGTGATAGGGATTTTCAGCTCAGGAGGGAGCTGGAGATCAGGAAGTCGGAGCTGGAGATCAGGAAGTTGGAGGCAGACACTGCTGTCCGGATGTGTCAATTAGAGCTTCAGGCAGCTGGGGGGGGGTGATTCTGCCATTACATATTCTGGTCCTGCTGCCTCCTTCGACGTGAGTAGGCATATTTCTTTGGTCCCTGTGTTTCGTGAATCAGAGGTGGAGATCTATTTTGGTGCATTTGAGCGCATTGCTGCTGCTCTGCGCTGGCCAGAAGACGTGTGGGCTATTCTTTTACAGTGTAAGCTAGTCGGCAAGGCTCAAGAGGCTTGCTCTTCTCTTTCTGTCGAGGATAGTTTAGTGTATGAGAATGTTAAAGGTGCTGTTCTCAGGGCATATGAGCTTGTGCCTGAGGCCTACAGGCAGCGTTTTCGCGGCCTGATGAAAACTTCTGGCCAAACTTACGTGGACTTCGCGAGGGAGAAGAAAGTCCTCTTTGACAGGTGGTGTAGAGCTTGTAAAGCTGACGACATTACTTCAGTGTGTGAGCTAATGATGTTAGAGGAGTTTAAGAACTGTGTGCCTGAGCGTACGGTAGTCTACCTGAATGAGCAGAAAGTAACTACCCTTCAGCAGGCTGCCACTCTGGCAGACGAGTTTGCCCTGATACACAAGAGCGTTTTTTTTCAGCGTGATCCTCCTCAGCGAGACACTTATCGTAGAGCTCCTGACAATTACGTTCCCTGTGCCAGTGTTCCAGTGTTAGATCCCAGGCTAAACAGAGCTTGTTTTTTTTGTCATGACCCAGGTCATGTGATAGCAGACTGTGCAGGTTGGAAGCGAGAGCAGACAGCGGCTGGCAAGCACCCAGAAGGGGTGGGATTGATTATAACAGTGTGTCATAGTGGACGGGCTACTGTTAACAAAGGGCCTGATGAGTGTTTGAAACCGTTCATCTCTACTGCTTTTGTCTCTCTGTCAGGAAAGGTGGAGGACCAGCGGCAGGTCACGGTGTTACGAGACAGTGGTGACTCACAGTCGTTCATTCTTGCCAGTGTTCTGCCCTTGAGTGCTGAGTCTGCCTGTGATGCAAGTGCGGTGGTAAGAGGTATTGAGATGGGTTGTGTGCCTGCACCTCTTCACAAGATCCAGGTACAGTCTAAACTGGCTACTGGTTTCTTTCCAGTTGCTGTGCTGCCCAAGTTTCCTGTCGACGGAGTGGATTTCATAATGGGTAACGATATAGCCGGGGGTAAAGTGTATCCTACTGCTGAGGTTGTAGACGTTTCAATCCCTGGTGCTGCAGGTGGTGACCTAGCTCAGACTCATCCGGAGGTGTTTGCAGGTTGTGTTTTGACCAGAACTCGAGGTCCCAAGAGATTATGTTTCTTTTGTCTTGATCCTGGTCATCTAGTGGCAGGGTGTGTAGCTTGGAAGCAGCAGGTGGCAGCTTCCAAGCAGTCTACGGAAAAGTCAAAAGACCAGCACCCAGACTACAATATCGTCATCAAGCACAAGAGGTTAGCAGATAATGTGGTGGCCGATACTGTACTGTGGGTGAGATTACGATTACGATGGGTCACGATTCATGTCCAATAGTCTGAGTGTTTTTGGTAACTGTGGCCAAACACTTGTTTGGTTTTATGGGGGGGGGTGTTACGTGCCGTAGTGTTTGTGTGTCTTTCTCTCTCTCCCTCTGATTCCCCAGGTGCAGCCTGATTGTCCCCAGGTGCAGCCTCTCCCCAGGTGCTCCAAATTCCCAATCAGGGCCTCCTTAAAGGACCTGAGGAAGGCTGCAGTGGCCTCTCTCTTTCTCCTCTGGCTGCACAGGTGCAGCACGGCGTCTTCGTCTTTGTGTGGGACCTGTTTGTCTATCATTGGTGGATTAAATCTCATTTTGGTGACTTCAGAGATCAGTTTCCTCTCTTTTTTTCTCGTGCTGGTCGTTCTGTGTTTTGTTACTCCCCTTCGTACCCCTAGATTTTGGAGGGAACGTAACAATAGGGATGCCTCACTTCTCATATTTCTAGCTTCCTGTTATGCAGACTGCTATTAAAGAGGAATCGGTGTAATTAAGCACACATATATTCTTAAGCAAACTCATAGCTGAACACTGTGTACACAGGTTACTTTATTATGCACACTACACTAGGAGCTGCTCGACTTATGTCTCTGTCTTCAGGGTGTTCACTGTTCACAGGGAAAAGAGAGAGAGAGAGGGGCGGAGTGATTCGCGCCACTCATTACCCTGGGTATACATTCTAGAGTGCTCCATGCAGAAACAACATGTATTCATACATCTAAATGACATAAAGGGGTCTAGTAGCCCTATATTTCATATGGGTTACATTATTTTTTAGACATTAGACTTTGCACAGTCTGTTAAATGCCATATTACTATTAATACAGATCCCTATTGTGCTGTTATCACAACTCGTTAAAAAAATATAGGTTACAGAATTGTATAATTATATAAATATAGGTCAAATATAGTGATAAAATATAGGTTACATACCTTGTGTTTTGATGTGAGAAATGACAAAAAGATGGTTCCAGAATGATTCAGAAGAGGGAAAATGAATAAAGCAACCTCTGGGTTAAAAATAACCCAGGCAGGTGTTCAACTGCAATTGAAGCCCTAATAACCCCTGTGACCCAGCATGAACAACCCACCAGTGTGTTTACAGTACCCAAATAACCCATAATTATGACCCAGCCAAATCAACCCAGCAATGTGTTTATAGAAATAACCCAGCATTTTTTAGAGTGTATATTATTGATATTTACAACAATACAAAAAGAGTGGTGATAAATAAACAATTGTATCCAATTATTAAAAAAACATATAAAATATTGTTCTTTTCAAATGTCATAATGCAATTTGAACAACTCAGCAATTCTCATATTTTATTATGTTTGTATTATGTCATGTTATACTGGATGTCGTTTTTTTTTGTATTTCATGTAAATATTTCTCTATATTTTTACGTTATAGTTGTTATTTTTGGGTTGTTTTTCTTATATTTTGTCTTTAACTGTGTTTATGTTTGCAACAAATACACCAAGGCAAATTCCTACTGTGTGAACCTACTCTCTGATTCTCATTCTGACGGTAAGGTTTGGTTTCTCTTTTGCACATTTTGCATTTTGGTGTTACCCATCTTCGTCTCATAGGATCTCTGGTGATGACGCGGTGATGACGCAGTGACAGAGCGGACTGAATTCTGTCTAATGGTAGATCATTTAACAGTGACGTAATGCACGTGTCATTGTTTTTCGGGTTGTTGTTTGTGTTACATATTAAAAGAAACCCCCTTAAAAAAAATGTTTCTGACATGTTCAATATATCGACAAATGACTAATAAAACAAATTAAAAATAATTACATTTCTTTAAAAAAAAAAATCTGCCTCTTCGTGGTGTCCATCTTCTCCAGGATCTCTGGTGATGACGCGGTGATGACGCAGTGACAGAGCGGGCTGAATTCTGTCTAATGGTAGATCATTTAACAGTGACGTAATGCACGTGTCATTGTTTTTCGGGTTGTTTGTGTTACATATTAAAAGAAACCCCCTTAACTTAATTATTGAGCAAAAATGTTTTTCCATTAATTAAATAATTACATTTCTTTAAAAAAAACAATATTCTGCCTCTTCGGGGTGTCCATCTTCTCCTCATAGGATCTCTGGTGATGACGCGGTGATGACGCGGCAGGCAGGATGGGGCGGAGCAGAGTGATCTGAGCGCCGGGAGATTCGATCCCTGACCCGCGGTTTCTCTATAACGCTCCTGGAAGTAAACCCTGGTAAAAACTCACAGAAAAACGGACCTTTTTAAGTTGTGTGTTAGCAGTGGAGCCATGATGTTACTGTGTGCCATTATCAAGCGGGGGATCTGCGGCTGTTAAACCCTCACTTTCCACAGGTAGGAGTCTGGTTCTCACCGTGCTAACTATGCTAATGCTGCTATTACCAGTTTGCAGTAGCTAGCGAGCTAAATAAGATAAGATATACTTGATTGATCCTGAATTGGGTAATGTTTTCGTCACATCAGCATGTTTAAACAAGGCATTGCACATACATTTAAATATAAAAAGCGTAGAAAATAACAAACATCAAAATAGAAAATACATCTCAAACAGAAACAGAACTAACAGTTAAACATATACAAGTTGACCCTGAAATATAACAATATGTAAGCTATCTGGCAAATTAGACACAATGAAGGGCCAAATTATAGCTTACAACATTTAAAAATAGGGTGTTATTTACATGTAGTGTGTTAGGAATGTCATTAAATGAACTACAAATGTTAGCTAGCCGTGCTAACAAGAATCTGACCCATTTTCTTTAGCGTATTTACACTAAAACCACCATAGTTAACATTAACAGCGTCTTTGATCACTTGATAAAACGGTTGATTAATAAAATATATTATTATATGTATTGACTCAAATAAAGACCCACCTTGGGTAAAGATAACCGCATATGCTAAGCTAAGCTAACTCCAGCGTCCGTGGTTACCAGATGATCTTAACGGTTAATGATATTTTAAATTGTTGTTATGTAACGTTGCTTACTTACTGTAGAAATGGTTCAACATAGCCCTGCCTCAAGTATGATTTTAAACCCAAAGAGCTTCTGTTGGCTCTGTTGTTTCTGTCTATCTATCTATACATATACACGTTAGCTAGCTAGTTAGCACAACATACTAGGTTGTGTAACTTTTGACTCTGCAGGGTTTGCACTGCAGAACAAGATAAACACTTCCTTTGATATAATCTCTTATCAGGCAGCAGTTGTGAAATAAGTATCGAAGCATTTAGTGAACCAATAGTACTGAAATCACACAGTAAATGTTTTTAATTTAATTTAAAGTACACGTATTGGTTGTGCAGTAAAATGTCTCCTGTCAGTGTTATGGTGTTTGTGGAGGAATGGTACTGCTGCATTATCTTGCATTGTACTTAACTCCTTGACTGTTCAATCTGCAGCACTGCAACTCATTCTATAAGATCATCCTATGTGTGTTTTTTGACCATTTTATATATATATATTTTACATGTATTTGGGGGTCTTTTTCAGACTTGTTTTCCACATTTCAGTACTAATTTAGGCTGCGATAATTTACTCCTCTTAAAAACTGCAATGCATCAAATCCTCCTATAAGGTCATGACTTGTTTGTAGCTTTGCCCAGTGACAACCACGTGTCTGTAAAAGTTAACTTTTCACGGGTTTCTCAGAAAAACCAAACTGATCCAAAATACTTTTTAAAGACTTTATTTATCTTAAGAAGTAGGAGAAAGGTACAAGGAAGTGTTTGTCCTGAGACATATTAAACTGTATTGAACATTTTAATTCTTGATTTAAGTTATTTGATTGATTAGTATATTTGAGGCAGTCATCATGTCAGAAAATCCCAACATGCACAGCTTGTGAACTTTCAAATCCTACTCCACATTTTTGGAGGTGTGTGAACAAACACAGCAGACCCGCCATGATACACAAAATACACAAAGACATCATTTTTGGCGTGCCCACCTTTCCACAAAACCTAGCTTTAGAAGTATTGGATTACAAACCAACCAACCTGCTCTCCCTCTCCCTGCAGATGGAGGTGGATTCAAATACCTTTAAAATGCTTTATTTAGCTTAAAGGTCACCTATCATGCAAAATCCTCTTCTTCATGTCTCTTCTACATCAACATGTGTCCCCTCTTCTTCATGTCTCTTCTACATCAACATGTGTCCCCTCTTCTTCATGTCTCTTCTACATCAACATGTGTCCCCTCTTCTTCATGTCTCTTCTACATCAACATGTGTCCCCCTCTTCTTCATGTCTCTTCTACATCAACATGTGTCCCCCTCTTCTTCATGTCTCTTCTACATCAACATGTGTCCCCTCTTCTTCATGTCTCTTCTACATTAACATGTGTCCCCTCTTCTTCATGTCTCTTCTACATCAACATGTGTCCCCTCTTCTTCATGTCTCTTCTACATCAACATGTGTCCCCTCTTCTTCATGTCTCTTCTACATCAACATGTGTCCCCTCTTCTTCATGTCTCTTCTACATCAACATGTGTCCCCTCTTCTTCATGTCTCTTCTACATCAACATGTGTCCCCTCTTCTTCATGTCTCTTCTACATCAACATGTGTCCCCTCTTCTTCATGCTCTTCTACATCAACATGTGTCCCCTCTTCTTCATGTCTCTTCTACATCAACATGTGTCCCCTCTTCTTCATGTCTCTTCTACATCAACATGTGTCCCCTCTTCTTCATGTCTCTTCTACATCAACATGTGTCCCCTCTTCTTCATGTCTCTTCTACATCAACTGTGTCCCTCTTCTTCATGTCTCTTCTACATCAACATGTGTCCCCTCTTCTTCATGTCTCTTCTACATCAACATGTGTCCCCTCTTCTTCATGTCTCTTCTACATCAACATGTGTCCCCTCTTCTTCATGTCTCTTCTACATCAACATGTGTCCCCTCTTCTTCATGTCTCTTCTACATCAACATGTGTCCCCTCTTCTTCATGTCTCTTCTACATCAACATGTGTCCCCTCTTCTTCATGTCTCTTCTACATCAACATGTGTCCCCTCTTCTTCATGTCTCTTCTACATCAACATGTGTCCCCTCTTCTTCATGTCTCTTCTACATCAACATGTGTCCCTCTTCTCCTGTCTCTTCTACATCAACATGTCCTCTTCTTCATGTCTCTTCTACATCAACATGTGTCCCCTCTTCTTCATGTCTCTTCTTCATCAACATGTGTCCCCTCTTCTTCATGTCTCTTCTTCATCAACATGTGTCCCCTCTTCTTCATGTCTCTTCTACATCACCATGTGTCCCCTCTTCTTCATGTCTCTTCTTCATCAACATGTGTCCCCTCTGTGTAAAGAGACTCTGAAAGTTTCAGGAACAAAGATTCTCTCTCTTTTTGATCCATTTTTATAAAAACCTGTCTGAAAATGAGCTGATCAGATTTTGGCCACTTCATGATGTCATAACGATGTTTTGTCTTGTGTAACCATTAGCCAATGAGCAACCAAGGTAACTCCCCCCCCCCCCCACCTTATCACCTGAATCTCCTCCTAGAGCACCATTGAGTTCTTTGTAACCAAACCTCTCTCAGAGGGGCGTGGGGAGGGGCTCCTTATTTTCATCTAAAGTAACAGACAGAGAATCAGCACTTTGGAAACAGGGCTAAAACAGAGGGGATTATGGGTAATGCTGCAATGATCTGTTTGGTGTTTCAGCCAATCAGAGACAGGCTCTGTATATATCTGAGACCTGTGATATATTGATGAGAAACAGTATAATAGGGGACCTTTAAACTCTCCCTGCAGATGGAGGCCATGGAGGTGGACTCCTCGCTCATCATCCTGGACTCCGGCAGCAGCACGGAGGTGGACGAAGACGATGAAGATGAAGTTGATCAGAGAGAACAGGCGACGGCTCGATCTCCTCCCAGACTTCCTGCCACCTGGGCCTTCAGCCAGAGGGCGGTGGGATCAGCTGCTCAAGGGGGTCCCATGCGCAGGAGACTCAGGTGAGATCCTAATATAATACGTTTATTTAGTAAAGCATCTTTCACAGAAAAAGGGTTTTATGTACACTATCTGTTTTCCTTTTGTTATTACTGCCGAATTGTATTCCATTCTATTTCTATGTAAATGCTGCTATAGTTTACTATATTTTTTACTATTTTAAATATTTTTTTATGTTATTATAGTTTTCTTAAAGTAGTTCTCTATCTGTGTTTTTTGAATTTTTGTTTTACTTTTATGTAAGTCAAATTCCTCGTCCGTGTGAACCTCTGGTGATAAACCTGATTCTGATTCTGAACATAGAAACAAAACGCAGACCACGTGGAGTCCCCAAAGGAACAAACACAAGAACACATCTCACACATCTCAAGTAGAAACAAAAGTCAAAAGACGGGTCTTCAGTCGTTTTTTTCACTCTTAAAGGTTTGGACTAGGGCTGCACGATATATCGTGTCGTGACGATAATCGCAGCATGCGCGATAGTCACATCGCAGGACGTGCGATATTAAGTAGGCAAATGAACTCAAACACGTCATGTTACAATTATTTTGCTGCTTGCTACAAAAGGAAAACTTGTGCAGCTCTCATGTCGGGGGTCCTTGAGTGAGTGACAGCAAACCACCAATCACAACCAAATCTCCGAAGCAAACGGACCCCGGGGTTAAAGGTCAAAACAGGCTAACCGAGCTAGCTCAGCTTGTTGCTCTGATAACTTAAGATCCAGACGTCCGTGACTAAAGCGTCAGTGTTGATCCTCCAGTTCAGCCATTGTCTAAGTGCACTCCCAGGTACTTGTAGACCTCCACAACTGCCACATCCTCTCCCAGAATGCACAGGGGCAGAGGAGGAGATGTCCTCTTCCTCCTGAAATCAACGACCATCTCTCTGGTCTTGGCCACATTCAAAAGCAGATGATTTCTTCCAGTCCACTCAACAAAATCACCCACCAGCGCTCTGTACTCCTCCTCCCGTCCATCCCTTATACACCCTACCACTGCAGAGTCATCCGAAAACTTCTGCAGGTGGCATGACTCTGAGTTGTATAGAAAGTCAGAGGTGTATAAGGTGAACAGGAAAGGAGACAGCACAGTCCCCTGTGGGGCTCCAATACTACCAACCACCACATCAGACAGCACACTGCCCAGCCGGACGTACTGTGGTCTGTCCGTGAGGTAGTTGGTAATCCAGGAGATGGTGGACGAGTTTACCCTCATAGCCTGCAGCTTGTCACTCAGTAGCCGAGGCTGGATCGTGTTGAATGCACTGGAGAAATCAAAAAAAGGTGATTCTCACAGTGCAAACCCGATCCATTCAGGTATGAGTGAGCACGCTGCAGCAGGTAAATAATGGCATCGTCCACCCCCAGGTGAGGCTGGTAGGCAAATTGCAGAGGGTCAAGGAATGATCTCACCTGCGGTCTGAGATGGGCCAAGACCAGTCTCTCAAGCACCTTCATCACATGAGATGTGAGTGCTACAGGGCGATAGTCATTGAGCCCAGAAGGAGTCGTCTTTTTAGGGACCGGAACAACGCAGGATGTCTTCCACAGCACCGGGATGGTCTCCAAGTGCAGGCTCAGGTTGAATATATACTGGAGAACAGGAGCCAGCTGGCGTGCACAGGTCCTCAGGACCCTGGGGCTGATACCATCAGGGCCAGCAGCCTTGCCTTGGTGGAGTTTTTCCATCTGACTCTGGACCTGTCCTGTGCTCACAGTGAAGCGGGGGGGGGGGCTTGATGGCAGGGGGGATAGAGGGGGGGGGGGGGGGGTCTGAGGCAAGATGAGCAGAGGGGGGGGGGGGGGGGTCAGCGGCAATGTGAGCAGAGGGGGGGTGCAGAAGCCAGGCTGGGTGGTGGAGGAGAGGTGTGAAGTGTAGGTGGTGAGCAGAGGGGGGATGTTGACGCCAGGCTGAGAGGAGGAGGTGAGGTGAGAAGAGGAAGTGGAGGAGACAGCAGCGGGCGGAGAGCTAAACCTATTGAAGAAGGTGTTCAGCTCGTTGGCCCTCTCCAGGGTGCCCACAGTCAGTCTGTCTCTCCCTTTGAAGCCAGTGATAGCCTTCATCCCAGCCCAGACATCCCTGCTATTGTTCTGCTGGAGCTTAGGCGCAGTTTACACGAGGAGAAAACTGCTTGTATCTGCATAGTTTCGCGTGCGTATAGCCCTATTATTTACACGAGGCCGATAGAAACTGACCCCACAAACGATAACGGGTCCCAAGGTGGATAGATTTGCAAACGAAACGCTCTGGGGGGGTCAACTGAGTCCGTGTAATCACCTCTATACGAATATTTCCTGAAGAAATAGCGGAAAAAAAAAAAAATAGCACCTCTCCTGCTCACTGCTGTAGCAACCATCAAAAATAGCTGTGTTAATTAAACGCACAAGGGGTTCTTGAATGAAATAATATTATAAAAGGCAAACCAGAATTGTTAACGCCCAATATACTCCTTAAACAAAATAAACAGAGTCAGATTTCATGCATTGATCCATTATATTGACAAAGGTGCATCTCACCCGGTGTTTGTAGAGAATATCTCTCTTTCTGAGCCGTCCTCTCGATGCAATATCCACAGAGACGTGCTTCTTGGTTTCTTTCAGTTAACTTCCCCGTTGCATTTATCCATATGCTGAGGAAATGACTATATCCCGCTGAATACCAGCAATCGCCACACACACTTCCTCCTGTCAGTAGCTACTGCTAGTGCTACTGCTACTGACCATGCTACAGATATTAGTGCAAAAATATACAGCTCCTCTACCACAACCATCAGCAACAACAGATTCGGTTTCTTTCAGTTTCTTTCAGTTTCAGGGCTTAAACAGAAGGGTAGCCATGGCAACATTGCTGCGGGGCTGCTCCAGGCTGCTCTTCTTCGCGGCTTTTGGTGTATTTTGGCGGAAGTTACAGCGCCACTTACAGTCCTGGCATATGTACTACAGCGTTTCCAGCGGCCTCGTTTGAACAGACACGTTAAATGAAACAAATGCATGTGAACGGAAGACTTTTTTGAATACACATACTGTGCATAAACGCAAACGGTCCCGTGTGAGCAAGGCCTTAGTCTCCAGCTTCTTCCTGTAAGAATCTCTGCCCCTCCTCAAATTGTCTCTCAGTTGATGCTGGATACTCTTCAGCATTGATTTGTCCCCAGACTTAAAAGCTTCCTTTTCTTATTTAAAAGAGTTTTCAGGTCACTAGTAATCCAGGGTTTATTGTTGGGGAAACAGTTGACAGTTTTAGCCGGTAATATTGTTTGTTCACAGAAGTTGATGTATTCTGTGATGCAGTCAGTCATGTTATTGATGTCCTCTCCATGTGGCACACAAAGCACGGCCCAGTCAGTGGTCTCGAAGCAGGCCTGTAGAGCCTCATTAGCCCCTGGAGTCCATTTCCTCACAGTCCTGGTGGATACAGGCTGCCTCTGCACCAGAGGGACATATTTAGGAGCCAAAAGACGAGGTTGTGGTCAGATCTGCCCAGGGGGGGGAGGGCAGTGGCACAATATGCATTCTTGGTATTTGCATATAGAAGATCCAGAGTATTATTTCCCCTGGTGGGGCATTTCACATACTGAGTGAATGTAGGCAGAGATTTGTCCAGTTTTGCACGGTTACAATCCCCAGTTATTGTTATGAATGCATTTGGGTGAAGAGTTTGGAGTTTGGCCACAGAGGAGTGAATGACGTCACCAGCCACCTCCGCGTCCGCGTTCGGTGGAATATAGACAGCAACTACGATGACAGAATAAAGTTCTCTAGGTAGATAAAATGGACGTAATCCCACAGCTAGCAGTTCAATGTCCGGGCTACAGAAACGCTCCTTCACAGTAACATGTCCAGGATTACACCATCGTTCGTTCACATACAGTGCAATCCCTCCTCCTTTCTTTTTACCGCTCAGAATAACGTCCCTGTCCGCCCGAACACTCGTGAAGCCGGGGAGAGCCGTGTTATTATCCGGGATGAGCGAGTGCAACCAAGTCTCGGTAAAACACATGATGCTACACTCACGGTATTCCCACTGCGTCTTCGTCAGCACGCGGAGCTCGTCCATCTTATTCCCCAAAGACCTCACGTTCCCCATTATGATGGCCGGTACACAGGGTTTGTACCTCATCTTCTTCTTCATCCTCAGCTTGAGCCTCCGAAGCTCCTCCGGGATGTCATGCCTGGCTCCGGGCAGCAGCACGGGTCGGCACAGCGCAATCAGCTGCTCACGCGTGTAAACAATGCCATCACTCCTCTGAGCATGGCTCTCCGACACAAAAAGTGAAAAAAGTAGCAGAAGAATGACCAGAAAACGTTCGATGTAAAACGTGGCCATAGTTCGCTGCAAGACGAACTAAATATACAAAGAAAAAAGTACAACTAAGAGAATAAAAGTAAACAAAAAGACAAAGATCAATAAAACACCGGGAGCTGCATGCAACAGGCAGCCACCAGCACGGCGCCTTACGGGGACTATGGATCTAATATAATATAATAATACCCAAAATAATAGATGATCACGGCCCCCAAACCACACATTCCAACACTAAAGGAACCAGCCTAGTTTGGGAAAATGTGTATGAAGTAGAACAGTTACACAATAGTACAGGGTATTTGGGTTCAACATGTAAGACAGTAGAAAGTACAGTGATATTTGGGTTCAACATGTAAGAAGTAGAAAGTACAGGTATTTGTGTTCAAACATGTAAGACAGTGAAAGTACAGGTATTGGGTTCAACATGTAAGGAAGTAGAAAGTACAGGTATTTGTGTCAACATGTAAGAGTCAGAAAGTACCGGTATTTGGGTCAACATGTAAGAAGTAGAAAGTACAGGTACTTGGTGTCACATGCTAAGAAGTAGAAAGTAAGGTATTTGTGTTAAACATGTAAGAAGTAGAAGTACAGGTATTTGGGTTCAACATGTAAGAAGTAGAAAGTACAGGTATTTGTGTTCAAAATGTAAGAAGTAGAAAGTACAGGTATTTGTGTTCAACATGTAAGAAGTAGAAAGTACAGGTATTTGGGTTTCAACATGTAAGAAGTAGAAAGTACAGGTATTTGGTTCAACATGTGTGAGAAGTAGAAAGTACAGGTAATTTGTGTTCAACATGTGAGAAGTAGAAAGTACAGGTATTTGTGTTCAACATGTAAGAAGTAGAAGTACAGGTATTGGGTTCAACATGTAAGAAGTAGAAAGTACAGGTATTTGGGTTCAACATGTAAGAAGTAGAAAGTACAGGTATTGGGTTCAAACATGTAAGAAGTAGAAAGTACAGGTATTTGGGTTCAACATGTAGAGAGTAGAAAGTCACAGGTATTTGTGTTCAACATGTGAGAAGTAGAAAGTACAGGTATTTGGGTTCAACATGTAAGAAGTAGAAAGTACAGGTATTTGGGTTCAACATGTAAGAAGTAGAAAGTACAGGTATTTGTGTTCAACATGTAAGAAGTAGAAAGTACAGGTATTTGTGTTCAACATGTAAAGAAGTAGAAAGTACAGGTACTTGGTGTTCAAACCATGTAAGAAGTAGAAAGTACAGGTATTTGGGTTCAACATGTGAAGAAGTAGAAAGTACAGGTATTTGGGTTCAACATGTAAGAAGTAGAAAGTACAGGTATTTGTGTTCAACATGTAAGAAGTAGAAAGTACAGGTATTTGTGTTCAACATGTGAAGAAGTAGAAAGTACAGGTATTTGTGTTCAACATGTAAGAAGTAGAAAGTACAGGTATTTGTGTTCAACATGTAAGAAGTAGAAAGTACAGGTATTTGTGTTCAACATGTAAGAAGTAGAAAGTACAGGTATTTGTGCTCAAAATGTAAGAAGTCAAAGTAAAAAGTGGTCAGAAAAATAAGTAGTGGGGTAAAGTACTGATACTAGAAACATGTACTTAAGTACAGAAACAAAGTATTTGTACTCCACTACTTCCCACCCCTGGTATTCTGTCAGAAAGAGTTAACCGTGTGTGTGTGTGTGTGTGTGTGTGTGTGTGTGTGTGTGTGTTAGGCAGGGTCTCAGGGTGCATTACCCCAGCCAGACTGCAGCGCCCTCTAGAGGATTTCCAGACTTCCTGCTGCGAGCTCCAGCTGCCTCGGCGGCTGAGCCGGGCTCCGGCAGCACCACGGAGATCAGCGAGTCTGAGGAGGAGGAGGAGGAAGAGCGGGGGGGGTCAGGGAGCTGCTCTGGAGCCCCTCGACCCCCTAGTGTTGCCTGCTAGCCCTCGTCTTAACGCCCAGCACACACAACCCCAGGAAGCAGCTCCAAACAGTGAGTCTCACACACAGGTCCTTGGTTTTCTTTCACAAGTCTGGGTCAAAACATCCCAGTTTGATTTCTCTCTCTTTCTTTTCCCGTCTGTGTTCAGATTCAAGTTCAGCTGCAGACGGTGAGAGGACGCAAGCTGAACATCAAGACATACAGGTAATAATAATAGCTTTATATGAATACAGGGTGTCCGCGGGGTCTTCAAAAGTATTAAAAGTTGACAAATCAATTTAGCGAAAATGAAGGCTATTAAAAAGTATTAAAAAGCATTTTCCAAGGTATTACATTTTGTAGCTTGAGCTGCAGCTGAGAAAAGATTTGAGTGTGTGTGAGGAAGTCCACGGATTGGTCCATTTGGGCACGTCAGAGCACCCAAGAAGAAACGAATGGAAAAAGAGAAATGTCCAACGAGGCGTTCTGGGGCAGCATAGACAGGTCTTTTCTGTGTTAGAGTTTTACTCCCTAAAGCAGGGGTGTCAAACTCAATTTCATCACGGGCCACATCAGCATTATGGTTGCACTCAAAGGGCCGGTTGTAACTTTAAGACTATATCATTAATTAATATAACTTCATAATTAACTACGTCTGAAAGCAGAAGTCTAGAGCAAATAATTGCAAGTCTCTTCAGTAAGAATGTCACAATATGATTTTAAAAGAAAAGCCACATTCTGGAAAAACATTGATTGTGACATTTTGAAAAAGAGAAGTGACATTTTGAAAAAAAAAAATCTATTTATGAGAAAAAGGCTAATTCTAAGAAAAAAGGCATATTTGGACAAAAAAGTCAAATTCTGAGAAAAAGTCAAATTTGAGATGCATTGTGGGACATGTCGTTTATGGGCAACGTGCTTCTGTAAAGTAGCATGTAACCGTATAATAAACATATTATATTCTTTGCAAGCTCTTATGGGGCCACATAAAATGAAGTCGCTGGCCGGATTTGGCCCCCGGGCCTTGAGTTTGACACCCCTGGTCTACAGGGTGTACTTTGAGGGTTTGTGACTCTGCAGACCGTTCACATGCAGAAAAAGCTACATAACACAAGGGGACGGGTCATAACCAGAAAAGCGTGACATGGGACCTTTAAGAGACCACTTAACAGAAGGACGTCGCTAATGAAAAGCCAAACTTCATCGTATTTGCCTCTCTAATATTTCCTGGTCGACTGTTCCAAGTTTATTTATCTTCATATTTATTACTACAATAAAAAGTATTTTATTTTATTTCACTTTACCTTACTTAATTGTACGTTAGATTCTTGTTTATCTCATTGTATTTACATGTTTATAGACTCCTGCATTCACTTGGTCCCTTACAACATGCTGTGCATTATTTAGCTTCAACCTTTGGGAGTGTCTGTTTTGTTTAACGGACCTCATGTTGAGGCTACAGTTTGATATGTTAGTGTTTTAGTTTAGGGTTTCTGTGTGTGCGTTAGCTGTGGGGTTGGGATCAATAAAGTACTTCTCTTACCTTGCCCCTCGGTTCTGTTGTGTGATTGTGACGTGCTATATGTGACATGTATGTAGTAACGTGTGTTTGCACTTCATCGTTCTCTTTGATCCTTTCTCCTCTATCCATCCTTTCTTTATAACTAATGCTGTTCATGTGTTGTGATTTTAAAAATGTGTCTATTGCCATCTGTCCGGGGACAACGGCTGGAAATGAGCAATGTTGGCTAAAGCTGCTCCATTTCCTGTGTCCTGTGACAGTCGATCAATGGGGGACTGTCCACGACGCTATAAACAAAACAAACTAAATCTTATCAATGAAGCTGACACTCTCATCTCCTCCTCCAGCCGCTCCTCGCTCCCCCGGCTCCCGCCCCCTCGTCTTCGCAGGGAGAAGAAGGCGACGTCTGCTCCGTCTGCTTCGAGCCGTGGACGACAGCAGGCGAGCACCGACTCTCAGCCCTGCGCTGCGGACACCTGTTCGGGTTCACCTGCATCACGCGCTGGCTCAAAGCTCAGGGGTCCGCCGCCAAATGTCCGCAGGTGAGAGAGAGACGGGCGGTTTCAAGATTCAAGGCTTTTATTGTCATGTGTTCATAGCTACAGTGTAGCTATGAACATGGGCGTAATTTCCACTGGGGACAGGGGGGACATGTCCCCCCCACTTTTCAAAATCCCATTTGTGTCCCCCCCACTTTTTAAATGTGTTTATTATTATTTTTTTACGCAAGCGGTCATCGTCAAGGAGGAGCGTCTGTGTGTGTGTGGCACGAGCGCATCTTGTGAGAGAGAGATAGAAAGAGAGAGAGAGAGGGGGTTGTTGTTAGCATTTGGTGCTAGCCCGGAGCTAACGGAGATTAGTAGCTGTTTCAACAATAAGGAGAGGGAGAGCTCTTTCCTGTCGGACTTTGAGAGAGTGAGAGAGAGACAGACAAATATATAGAGAGAGAGAGACAGAGAGAGAGACAGAGAGAGAGACTGAGAGAGAGACTGAGAGAGTTACGTGGGTTGTTGTTAGCATCTGGTGCTAGCCCGGAGCTAACGGAGATTAGAAGCTGTTTCAACAATAAGGAGAGGGAGAGCTCTCTCCTGTCGTAAAACAGGTTCACATGGATAGGATACTAGATAAGTGTGCACACTCATTATATACACTACACATTTTTCTTGGATTTGTTAACACTATAGTCCCTAATATATTTGTAGAAAGGCAGGAAATGGAATTAAATCGAGAAAATGTTTCATTGCGGAGGACCCCCTGTTTTGTGTCCCCCCCACTTCTCAAACCAAAGTTACACCCTTGGGTATGAACACATGACAATAAAGCCCTGAAGCTGGTTGTATAGTCTGACCGCTGCAGGAGGATAAGTTGTATATCATCCTGCATCTTGACTTTAATGATGATCTGTCGTTCCTCTGTAGTGCAACAAGAAGGCGAAGCGGTCGGACATCGTTCTGCTCTACGCGCCCAAACTGAGAGCGCTGGACAACTCTGAGCAGGAGATCTTAAAGAAGTGAGTGAAGTCTTCACTCGGGTCAATTTAAACTGACGTTGCCATCTTAGGGTAGGAATACCGTGAACATAGTTTACCATCTGCTGCTCAGTAGTATGTATCTAATACCTAATATATATATATATCATTCCAATAACTTGTATATAGACTCGTACTGCACTATTCCACATCATCACTTTATTTTATTTTATAACTATTATTCTTTTTGTATTGCTCTTGCTCTTATTGTTATGTTATTATGTTGCATTGTTGGAGAAGCCTGTGACATAAGATTTTCAACTACATCATTACTCTGTAGCTATGTCAGATTGACAATTAAGAACCTTGAACCGTAGGAATAAATACACACACACACACACCGTCGGCGTTGCTTCGACACGTTTATTGTCCATTTTATCACGGCAATACAGGAAGTGACTTTTAGTATAAGAGTATAAAATAAACAGATTCTAATAACTCAACATATCCAATCTAATATTTAATATTCCATTCCTCACATACTTATGTATATTTAATATCCTGCTTTATATTCTGTCACTGTTTGTAATTCAACATGTATATTTTCTACTTTTTTCTTGTATTGCTATTGAGATGTTGACATTTTTAAACGTTTATTTCTTGTCTTTTAATCTTATTGTGCAATGCCATGTCTTTTTATGCCGCTGCAACACAGCTTGTGATCAATAAAGTACTTCTTATCTTCAGGGTGTCCGCGGGGTCTTAACAAGTATTAAAAGTAGATAAATAAATTTAGCGAAAATTAAGGCTATTAAAAAGTATTATTACATGGCTTAGTTGAATACTCGATTCTGATTGGTCAATTCAGAACACGTGACACGTTGTTAATCCAGAACAGACAGACCGCTGTCAAGGATTTATTGACCGTTGTTAAGGACGCTCACATCTGCACAAACAAGTCTGTTCGATTGAACTGTATACAGTTTGACTTTTCTAACTGACAAGACAAGAGCGACAAGAAAACAGCGGAGAAGTAACGGGGCGGAAACCCTCCTTTTTTCGCAGCGGTCCAGACATAGACATCAAACCGCGACACATATTCAGTGTGCAGTGACTTTGGCATTAGGGCAGGGATATCTAGATACTTCCCAAGGTTTGACATCATGAATTGTGCTACTTTTAAAGCAAGCAACGATGTTTTCAAATCTGTAATCAAAAAGCTCCTCAAAAACGCTATCGAAGCAGTTCCTGCCGTTGCTACGTTAGTTCAAACAGTAACAACGGACTATTTTTCTTAGCGGATGCATGTTAATTTAAATCAATACATACAACTATTTTTTTAAATCAATAAAATCATTTTCTAAATCCATAAAAGCATTTCAATTAATATTGGGAGTCATATCGTTACTTTGTTGAGAATGTGGCCGTGTGATAAGCGGTAATAATAACACCTTCATGCCGATCGAGATCCCTCCGCTTCGTGTCGGGCTCCTGATCAGCCTGTCGGTGTTCTTTTCCCCATACTGACCGCTGCACATCATCCCTTACTTAAATGGCATTTTCCATTTTGTAGCTAGTTTCCAATAAGTATATAAATTGTCCAAAGAGGTATTCTACAGTCTGCCTGAATGTAATCATTGCGTAGGTGTGTAGTGTGATTCTGTGTAGTTTATTTATGGCATCCCGTTGGGTTTGACGTCATCAGAACAGGACATCGCACGCTCACTGCTTGATAGCGCGCGAAGGTCCGTTTACGCCGGTTGTTAAACAACATCGTTATGGGGAAATGCAAGTCTGCGTCCAAATGGTTGGAAGATAAGGAGGAAGGACAATCAATACTGTATATAGTCAATGTGAGGTAAAGTGTGTCGCCAAGGTAACCGGTTAAAACTCGAAGTGGCGATGAGGTCTTAAAATGTATGGAAAGCGTCCAAAGTTCCAAAAATACTTAAAGTTCCAAAAATACTGTAAATTCCAAAAATACTTAAAGATCCAAAAATACTTAAAGTTCCAAAAATACTTAAAGTTCCAAAAATACCGCAAATGGTTGGAAGATAAGGAGGAAGGACAATCAATACTGTATATAGTCAATGTGAGGTAAAGTGTGTCGCCAAGGTAACCGGTTAAAACTCCAAGGCCCTTTCTCATGTCATCAAATGTCCCTCCTCGACTCCTCGACTCCCTCGGTCCTCCGGTAGTGACCCGGAAATGAATTTTAGCGCGCCATGTTGAAGGACATCTCATTTCTCGAAATGCACATCGAGGACCGAGCATCGAGCGTCGAGGAGGCTCTCTGGAGGAGCTATAACCGAGGAGACACTGATGGGTCCTCCACGGTCCTCCACGGCTCCTTCGTGGATGCATTTCCGGCAACAGTGATGTTTCAAAGAGTCGAGACGCACGGCCGGACTGATCTCAGCCAATGACAGCTCTGCATGCATCCCCTGGATATTATTTTATGAACTGCTTTCATCGCGACGCGATGTTTACAGTGAGAACAGCTGTGAGGTCCGTGCAGAAAGCAGAGCAGTGTGTATAATATATATCACTCAGTATAACAGGCCTACTCTCTTTATTTGCTTTAGTTTAGTAGATATCTACAAACAAAGAGTCGATATTTTTCTAAAACCATTTAGTGCTTCACAAAATAAAATACACAACGGCTGTCGCCTGATTATTATGCTTTAGGAGCTGTGTGTGTGTGTGTGTGTGTGTGTGTGTGTGTGTGTGTGTGTGTGTGTGTGTGTGTGTGTGTGTGTGTGTGTGTGTGTGTGTGTGTGTGTGTGTGTGTGTGTGTGTGTGTGTGTGTGTGTGTGTGTGTGTGTGTGTGTGTGTGTGTGTGTGTGTGTGTGTGTGTGTGTGTGTGTGTAGCCTGTTATTGTCTCATTATACCGCACTGTGAATGAATCAAAGTAAATATATAAGTGGTCATGAACACATCTGTCCATCAGACAGAGGGCTGCTGTGCCTCCTGTCATCATTAATGGACGTCTCTTTAAAATGACAGCTCAGAGGAGAGGAGTTCTCATTTCTCTAACCGCCTGCTGCTTCCCCTCCTCTCTCCTCGGCTCCTCCGCTCGCATCTCCTGTGGGCGGGACTAAGACACGAGGATAGGAGTCGAGGAGGGGAGTTTGAAGACATGAGAACGGGCCCAAGTGGCGATGAGGTCTTAAAATGTATAGAAAGGGTCTTAATAAAGGTCTTAAAAGGTCTTACATGTGACTTCAGGATTCCTGCATATACCCTGATCTTATAACTGGTGGGTTAATATAAAACATTTAATGTGTGTGTGTGTGTGTGTAGGTCTCTGGAGCAGGAGCAGTCTCTGAGGAGGAAGGCTGAACTGGAGTCAGCTCAGTACAAACTGAAGCTGCAGGTCGTCACCAACAAATACGGACAAGCACAACAAGAGCTGCAGGTATCACAGTTTCATATTCAATGTACCATTATTTATTCATTATCTGCTTTTTTAAATACTTTGGAAGGAACTAAAATCATTGTTTTAAAGTGATGTATTCCTTTCATATTGTAGTTATTGGATTTATATCAAATACATCATTGATTGCTGAATAACTGGCAGGTTTTTTACTATATAAATGTCCTGCAGGGAATCTCTAGTCACTTCCTGTTTAATGGATGCAAAGTGGACTGAACTAAGAAAACCTGGAACAGAGTTTTGGGGATTATAGATTTTTTTGGGCTATTTTTCAGGAACTATATAGATCGCATACACACCTTCTTTCACGTGTGACTCACTGATCATTTGAACAGTTGAATATATATTTCTTTCTGCATTTAAAGACACCTGTTGCATACTTTTATGTGTGAATTCACCTGGGTTACATGACATATTGAACTGGTGCTGGGTGCTTCATAGGGGCTTAGAACAAAACATAATAAATGATATTATATTCATATATGATAGTTTGAATTTTAATGTTAAAATATTTGTTCCTATCTCATTGTTTTTTGGGACTTCATTTTATTTATATGTTATTTTACAGCTTTTAATTCAAAAATAATAATTGAATTCTTTGTCATCAACATTTACATGAAATAATTATACAAATAATATTTTTCAAACTAACGATTATATATGATTCAGGCTAAATTATTATTTATTTCGCATCTTTTTTAAATACTTCAAGACGTTTTTAAGTATTATATTTTGCTATTTATCCCTATTTTTGGGGGAATTGTATTTTTTTCGTGACTATGTTTCATTAAAGGTGGGGTAGGTAAGTTTGAGAAACGGCTCGAGTGCGCTAGAATTTGAAAATACACAGCCGGAAAAAATGAGGGCACGAGATAAGTTTGCGCACAGATGGAAGGCTTTAACTATATATATCGCATACACATCTTCTCTGTCTCGTGTGACTCACTGATCATTTGATCTGTTTAATATATATCTCTTCATTTAAAAAAGACATGTTTTGTTCAAATTGTTCAAAAGGTTAACATGAAAAATATTGAGCTGGTAAAGAGGGCCATGTGCTTAATGGTTTAACCCTCTGAGTTTTTTTTCCTTTGTACTTAATGTCTCATAACTACTTCTACATCCACGTGTCATCCCTGTATTCTACACATGCTGATAGCTTAGCTTGTTATGAAAACAAACATGTATAGAACTTGATTGTGCAGCACAGGGTTCATGTTTTAATAGCATTTCTACAAACAAAAGCTCAGACGAGGCAAACATGAAAAAAGGGCTTAGACCTCAGAGAGATAACCAACTGTTTGTCAAACCCTTCCAATCCTCTCCTCTCTCTCTGTGCAGGAACTCAGGGCTATGATGGCTGGTCGAGTCCCAGTTTACTCTTCCTCCTCCTCCTCTTCCTCGGCCTCCTCCTCGCTCCTCCTCGGCCTCTCTCAGAGCTCCAGGTCGGCGCAGTATGTTTTCTCCAAAGCGATTCTGGTGTCTATGGCCGGAGGGTCCAGAGTTCTGTCGTACTGCGAGCCTCTGAGCTGCCTGCTGGCCTCGCAGCCCTCCCCCCACTCCACTCTGGTGCCAGGTGAGGAGACCCCACTTCCTGCTTTGAAACCACAACAAAACAGCCGAAAGATGGCAGAAATATTTAATGAGAAGCTTAAAGAGGCCCTATGATTCTTCTTTACTTGCAAAGCGCTTTGAGCACCAGGAAAAGCATATTTGTGTATGAGTCTATGCATTGTTTTTCCTACTTGTTAATCAGTGACATGAGGCTTTTTCCTCCTCTCACCTGTCTCCTCTTCCTCCTCTCACCTGTCTCCTCTTCCTCAGGCTGTGGGGTGAAGAAGGTGAGCGTGGTGAACATGAAGGCCAGTCAGTACGTTCCCATCCACAGCAAACAGATCCGAGGTCTGTCCTTCAACAGACAGAACGACAGCTTGCTGCTTTCTGCGGCTCTGGACAACACCATCAAACTGACCAGGTACACACACAAGCTAAAGGCTAATGTTGGGCTATAAAGGAACTACAGCACGGTCACATGACTTCACGTCACCACCGCTAAGCTAAAGGCTAATGTTGGGCTATAAAGGAACTACAGCACGGTCACATGACTTCACGTCACCACCGCTAAGCTAAAGGCTAATGTTGGGCTATAAAGGAACTACAGCACGGTCACATGACTTCACGTCACCACCGCTAAGCTAAAGGTGGCTAATGTTGGGCTATAAAGGAACTACAGCACGGTCACATGACTTCACGTCACCACCGCTAAGCTAAAGGCTAATGTTGGGCTATAAAGGAACTACAGCACGGTCACATGACTTCACGTCACCACCGCTAAGCTAAAGGTGGCTAATGTTGGGCTATAAAGGAACTACAGCACGGTCACATGACTTCAAGTCACCACCGCTAAGCTAAAGGTGGCTAATGTTCACAGGGATGATGTGTATTACTCTTATTTAGTCATATTTTAGCAATTGCCCTTTCCAAGACCAATAGGACATTCTCCAGTGGGGTATTTACTGATGTATTTTGTGTCTTACGCCGCCTACACACGGCGGCGTGCGTTGCCGCTTCAACGCTTCTGCCCATTCACTTTGAATGGGGTGACGTCACGCTTCGCCGAACTGCATTGTGGGAGCAAAGTGTAGCAATGTTCTACTTTTGAAGCTTCGACGGAGGTGTCAGCCAATCAAATCCCGCTTATGCAAATCTGCCAGTACAAGCGCTAGCCAATCAAACCGCGTGTATGTTGGGAGAGCCAGACCGCAGTTCATTTCCTCATATGCCAAAAAATGGAGGAGAAAATAATCGTGGCGGTAGGGAATCACCCGGTGCTTTATGACCAGTCCCTCTTTACCTACCGGGATATAAACCGGAGGAGCCAGGCATGGAGGGAGGTGGCAGACACAGTGGGTGAAACTGTGGAGGACTCATTGCTGCACCACTCTATATTCAGAATTTTACATTTTACAGTCCACTCACCCGTCTCGTCCTCGACACAGATGCCAAACATTCGCAGGATGTTGGGCATCTGAAACACCTTCATGGTTTCCACATCCTTTTTGAAACCTCTACTCACCTCGCTATATGGCAGTGGCATGGAGATGCGGCTAATGTTGGGCGTGATGACGTTTATTCGCTTCATTTAGACACTTGTTAGCAACCTCTGTTTCTAAATTCACCATTGGGGTATTCAGTGACCTACTTTATGTCTTGACCTGTTCTGTTTTTCTGTGTGTGTGTGTGTGTGTTTCAGTCTGCTCACCAACACGGTGGTTCAGACCTATAATGCCGGTAAGCCCGTGTGGAGCTGCTGCTGGTGTTTGGATAACAGTAACTACGTCTACGCCGGGCTGAGCAACGGCTCCGTGCTCGTCTACGACACCAGAGACACCAGCACACACGTGCAGGAGCTGCAGCCTCTACGCTCCAGGTACACACACACACACACACACACACACACACACACACACACACACACACACACTTGAGCACCCTAAATTAATTCGGAAGAAATGCTAGAAGGATTTATGGAACATGTCCCAAAAACATGTGAACAATATGTGAAAAATTCGGATGAAATGTACGTGAAATAGGAGACCTTTAAAGCCACTAAGACGGTATTGATTGTGTCCAGGTGTCCGGTGGCGTCTCTGTGCTACGTCCCGCGGGCGGCCTCCAGCTCGTTCCCGTGCGGCGGTTTGATCGCCGGCTCTCTGGAGGGCGGGTGTTTTTGGGAGCAGGTGAACGAGACCACCTACAGACCTCACCTGTTGCCCCTGGAGACGGCCGGCTGCACCGACATCCAGGTGGAGACGGAGAGCCGCCACTGCCTCGTCACCTACAGGCCAGGTGAGACCAAATGTTCCGTTTCTGGAAAACTCAAAATTCTGCCATTTTTACTGAATATATCAGAATTCTGACTTTTCTGAAAACCTCACATTTCTGACTTTTTTGGGAACATTTTAAGAATTTTGCAATTTCTACTGAAAATATCAGAATTTGTACTTTTTTCTGAAAACCTATAAAATGCTGACTTTTTTTCTGAAATCTCCGCATTCAGATTTTTCAGAAAAAACTCAAATGTCTGACTTTTTTTCTGAACATTTAAAATTCTGCAATTTTTACAGAAAATATCAGAATTTTGACTTTTCCTGAAAACTTCAAAATTATGACTTTTTTTCTTCTGAAAACCTCAAAATTCTGGATTTTTTCTGAAAAACCTCAAAATTATGCCTTTTCTGAAAATCTTACATTTCGTAGTTTGTTTTTTTATCTCTACATTTCGTACTTTTCTGAAAACCTCAACATTCTGATTTTTTTTCCTGAAAAAACTCACATTTCTGACTTTTTCTGAACATTTGAGAATTCTCCAATATAAAACAAATCTTATTTTGGGGTAATTTCTAAGACTTTTTCCCCATAATTGAAACAAAAATGTCACATATCTTTGGGACGTATTTTCTCAGACTTCTTTTTTGTTTTGCAGGCCGCTCCAACCCCTCTCTGCGCTGCGTGCTGATGTCTCTGACGCGCACCCCCCAGCAGGATTCCTCCGCGCTGCCGCAGGTCTCCGTCTCTCCGCTGCAGAGCTTCAGCGCCGGCCCCTCCTGTAAACTCCTCACCAAGAACGCTGTGTTCAGGAGCCCCGGAGGAGCGGGGGGGCTGGTCTGCGCCGGGGACGAGGCCTCCAACTCCACCATGGTGAGAGAGAGAGAGAGAGAGAGATATATATATATATATATAGAGAGATGTTTATTGGTTAATTTAAAGAGCCTAAATCTCAAAATACATTTGTTATAATTTATTTGATTTAGGCGTTTGTTGATATATTTTCTTTTTTGAAAATATTCCTCCCCCTCTTCCTCCCCCCCTCCTCCTCTTCCTCAGGTGTGGGATGCCAGCAGTGGTTCTTTGCTTCAGAAGCTTCCGGCAGATCTCCCGGTTTTGGACATTTCTCCGTTTTCTGTGAACGGCGAGCACTTCCTGGCATCGCTCACCGAGAAGATGCTGAAGCTCTACAGGTGGGAGTGAACAGGAGGGACACACACACACACACACACACACGCACAGGACGCAGTGTGTGTGTGTGTGGAGAAATCCAATGCTGCTTAAACTTTTATCTGCAAAGACGAGCAGAACAAACGGAGTGATCGACCCGAGGGAAAACCTTTTTTTATTTTTTTTGTATACTTTTTCCACTTCCACATTTCTAACAGGTGTGATGATGAATGCAGTCAGGTGTGAGATACCTGGACAGGTGAGGAGAGTCTCCCCTAAAGGAAGCGATCATATTGTGTTTACATGAGTCTAACGTCAGATTATAAAAGTACACGAGTCCTTTTTTATGTTCAGATGTTTCTCTCCGCTGCTAAAGAAGTCCAGGTGGATCAAACTCGGCTGAATCGACAAACTCAAGATTCATTTTGTCCGTTTTTTTTATCTGGCGGAGGTGGGACTCGCATGAAGCAGTGAAATGAAGTGAGTGTGTGTGTTGCTCGACATCTACAAATCATGTGCACTTTTTTTTACGACCGTTTTCAGGCCGACTTTTGTTCAATGTTTTGCGTCCATTCAGCATGAAACTTCAAATCGATCCATCACAGTGAACGTCAAGTGCAGAGATGCAACTAACTATTATTTTGACATGGAGATTAATTTCTTAATTAATTTGCACATTTTTGGGTGAAAAAGTCTCGATTTGATGGATATTTTTTGGGGTTTTTCCCTGTAAATGTGTGATTTAAACCTCATAACATTTCAATTTTGTTCCTCTTAAATTTGCTTAAGAATATCAACAAATTACACCTAAATTTACCATTTGAATATTGAGCTTTCCTCAGAATATAACCCCTTTTTCCCAGCCACAAAACGCCTCGAACCTTTAAGAAATACATAGAAACTGGTGGGAAACGGAGAGAAGAAGCATCACTAATATGTTGCTGACACATGATTTGTAGCATAAGAGGTAAACATGTCCCACAGGTATAATCCTCCTGGTTTCCCCGATTAAAGGCCATCACCACTGGTTTACCCTCAGCTGTACATCTCCATCACTACTGATCATTTCCAAATCATCGCTGCTTTTCTAAATAATCTAAAACATTTGCCCTAAATCTATTTTTCCTGGATTTAATGACACATGTAGCTGCTTGTATAACTGAGTTTTGTGATTTCCGATGGTCCCTGAACCGTGTAAGACAGTGAGAGAGAGACAGAGACAGAGACAGTGTGAGAGAGAGAGAGAGAGAGAGAGAGAGAGAGAGACAGTGTGTGAGAGAGAGAGAGAGAGAGAGAGTGAGTGAGTGAGAGTGAGAGAGAGAGTGAGAGAGAGAGTGAGAGAGTGAGAGAGTGAGAGAGTGAGTGAGTGAGTGAGTGAGTGAGTGAGTGAGTGAGTGAGTGAGTGAGTGAGTGAGTGAGTGAGTGTGTGTGTGTGTGTGTGTGTGTGAGAGAGAGAGAGAGAATCTTTTAATGGTGTCAAAAAACCCAAATAGCTTCAACCTGAGGAAAAGCAGGAAGTCTCTGTATTTAATGGCAGAAAAGTGAATTTTCTGACATGTTTGCGTTTCTTACTTTAAATTGTGAGCGATTATTAAAAGATATATATATATTGATTTCTTTCCTGTTGATCGACTCAGCTTTAAATGGACGATAATCGATGGTGTGATCTGGAAAATGGTCAGTAGTGACTTGATTTGTATTTTGACTCCAGACTGATCCCACAGTGAGGACGCTGAAGATTCCCCCAAATATTCTCCGTGTGTTTTTTGCCACTTTCCTTCGTTTCCACGTTATGAAACTCCTCTGAACATCAAGTGCCAAAAGGACTCGAATGTCCTGAACATTTCTCCTTGTTTTCTTACTAAAGGAAGTTGTATATATGTATATTTGCTACAAACTGTTTGTGTACGACTTCAAAGTTAATAAAATTTATGTTATTTTTAACTAAATTCTTGTGAGTGGTCTGTTTGTTGTGTTTCGCTTTCATTCAGAGATAAACATGAATCTGTGAATACAATACATGTTGTAAATACTGTAAATATAAATACAGGACGGTAGTTAAAAGTGTGGAGGTAGAGATGAACGTGACCGGTTTGTTTTCAGCATTTTTGGGCAATTTTCATAATCGTTTTACTCGGTTTATAGGGAATTAATTGATATTAAAGATTATTATTAGAAATAGTCAAATACACCTTGAAAAGCTAAAAGAGGCCCTATAATGCAGGTTCATATCAGTATGTAGGGTCTCTACTTTAAAGAGTCCTCTCCTGCTGATGTTCAGGTGTATATCAGTATGTAGTGTCTCTACTTTAAAGAGTCCTCTCCTGCTGATGTTCAGGTGTATATCAGTATGTAGTGTCTCTACTTTAAAGAGTCCTCTCCTGCTGATGTTCAGGTGTATATCAGTATGTAGTGTCTCTACTTTAAAGAGTCCTCTCCTGCTGATGTTCAGGTGTATATCAGTATGTAGTGTCTCTACTTTAAAGAGTCCTCTCCTGCTGATGTTCAGGTGTATATCAGTATGTAGTGTCTCTACTTTAAAGAGTCTTCTCCTGCTGATGTTCAGGTGTATATCAGTATGTAGTGTCTCTACTTTAAAGAGCCCTCTCCTGCTGATGTTCAGGTGTATATCAGTATGTAGTGTCTCTACTTTAAAGAGTCCTCTCCTGCTGATGTTCAGGTGTATATCAGTATGTAGTGTCTCTACTTTAAAGAGTCCTCTCCTGCTGATGTTCAGGGGCCTCATTTATAACGCCTTGCGTAGGATTGACGTAGGAAGGTTGCTTACGTAGTACAAAGCAAAAAAATAGGTACAGACATTTTCCGACATTTTCCGATTCACAAAACATTGCGTACCGGCGAGGGAAGTGCGTACGGCACTTCCTACGCCTGTTTCCCTTTATAAATCACAATCGACTCGAAATGCGGCGCAGCTTTTACGAGCTTCTCGTCACACCCATATTTGCCCATAAATAGTTATTGATACGCCCATAATGAATATTCATCAAACCGATTTCAGGCAAAAATGAACATGGCAAAGACAGAAAAAAGAGGCAAGAAAAGAAACTTCAATAACTGTGAAGTTGAATTCCTTGTCGGAGAAGTAGAGACGAGGCAACATATTTAGTTTGGTGGCCATAGTATTGGCGTAACGAGTGCCAACAAGGCAACAGAGTGGCAGCATGTGGCAGATGCTGTGAACTCTGCATCAGCACAGGGTCGCTCTGTCGCTGAAATGAAAAATAAGTGGTCAGACATTAAGGTGGTGATCAAAAATGTGTTTCTGTGTTGATTGGATGACTCACCGTGAACCCATCATATAGTAGAAGTACTCAGATCTTGTTCTTGAGTAAAAGTAGAAGTACTCAGATCTTGTTCTTGAGTAAAAGTAGAAGTACTCAGATGTTGTACTTGAGTAAAAGTAGAAGTACGCAGATCTTGTACTTGAGTAAAAGTAGAAGTACGCAGATCTTGTACTTGAGTAAAAGTAGAAGTACGCAGATCTTGTACTTGAGTAAAAGTAGAAGTACGCAGATCTTGTACTTTAGTAAAAGTAGAAGTACTCAGATCTTGTTCTTGAGTAAAAGTAGAAGTACTCAGATCTTGTTCTTGAGTAAAAGTAGAAGCACTCAGATCTTGTTCTTGAGTAAAAGTAGAAGCACTCAGATCTTGTACTTGAGTAAAAGTAGAAGTACTCAGATCTTGTTCTTGAGTAAAAGTAGAAGTACTCAGATCTTGTTCTTGAGTAAAAGTAGAAGTACTCAGATCTTGAGTAAAAGTAGAAGTACGCAGATCTTGTACTTGAGTAAAAGTAGAAGTACTCAGATCTTGAGTAAAAGTAGAAGTACTCAGATCTTGAGTAAAAGTAGAAGTACTCAGATCTTGTACTTGAGTAAAAGTAGAAGTACTCAGATCTTGTTCTTGAGTAAAAGTAGAAGTACTCAGATCTTGTTCTTGAGTAAAAGTAGAAGTACTCAGATCTTGAGTAAAAGTAGAAGTACGCAGATCTTGTACTTGAGTAAAAGTAGAAGTACTCAGATCTTGAGTAAAAGTAGAAGTACTCAGATCTTGAGTAAAAGTAGAAGTACTCAGATCTTGTACTTGAGTAAAAGTAGAAGTACTCAGATCTTGAGTAAAAGTAGAAGTACTCAGATCTTGTACTTGAGTAATAGTAGAAGTACCAGAGTGTAGGAATACTCTGTTACAGAAGAAGTCATGCATTCAAAATGTTCCTCAAGTAAAAGTAGAAAAGTATGATCATCAAAATACAGTAAAAGTAGTGATTGTGCAGAAAAGATTGGGGCGAAGACTCCTAGACAGCATTTTTTTTGTTGCAATTTTACTCTCAGTGCCCATAATTCCCACAGCCTCTGAACGCAGCAGCAGACCGTTATATTTTCAGCATTTTTGGGCAAATGTAATATTTTTTATTTTTTATTTAATTGATTAAATTATTATGAATTATTGGATATCAAAGATTATAATTGAACAATTGTAAAAGGCACACTCAAAAGATATAAGGGGTCCTATTGTACAGTTTCTTATTAGTATAAAGTGCCTTTACTGTGACATGCTTCCATAATAAGTCAACTTTATTGCCAATCTTCTGTGCGCGAGGGAGGTCGAAATGCTGTTTCTCAGGAGGATTAAAAGTTAAAATGTCTAAAAATACCAACCACCGACCTGCATAAATGATAACAAAATCTCAAACTAATGACTTAATCTTACAAAGTAATGATTAAGTATTTCAAAAATAATGTCTCAGTATTACAAAAATAATGACTAAGTATTGCGAAACGATAACTGTGTTTCTCGAAACAAAGAGTAAATAGCTAAAAAAAAGTGTTAAATGTGTCTTAACATTAATTACCTAGTATCTAATATGTTTCTTGTTTAATTCGTACTACAAACGTTATTGTTGTTTTTAACACAAGGCTCAGATCTATTTTTGTTTTTTGTTTTTTAAGGGGATGGTGGGGCCAAGTGTTCAAGACAGAGAAAAAAAAACTGCATCTTAACTCTGAGTGCCCATATTCCCCACAGCCCATGAACGCAGCAGCACATTTCATAATTTGTTTTTCTTTTAGATTTATACAAAATATGACTTAATATTACGAAATAATGTCCTAATATTACAAATAAATTACTTAACATTCCAAAATAATTACTTAATATCTCAAAGTAATGACTAAGTAGTACCTAACACATGTCTTAATATCACAAAATAATGATGTAATATTACAAAACAAAGAGTTAATAGCTTAAAAAGAGTGGTACATATGTCTTAAAATAATTCCCTAGTATCTAATATGTTTCTTGTTACTTTGTACTACAACACAAGGCTCAGTTTTAATTTAGTTTTTAGTTTTTTTTAAACGATGATGGCTGCGAAGCGTCATCAAGACAGAGCGGGGAAAAAACTGCATCTTACCTCTGAGTGCCCATATTCCCCACAGCCCGTGAACGCGGCAGCAGCAGCAGTCGACTGGGTGAAGATGGCGGACTGTATACGTGTTCCTCTGCTCCTTCTTCTCCTCTGCATCATCTCCTCTTTGCATCCAATTCAATGCCAAAACAACCCAGTCCTCGTCAAGGTCCCCATGAACCCCGAGCTGAATGCCCCTCTTCCCCCCGGGGCTCCAGTGGAGAGGCTCCCGGTACCGGAGAAGATCCCCGGTGGAGGGGCCTCGCTGCCTCGAAAACGCTCCTCTACCGGCTGGAAACTGTCCGAAGAGGGAGTCTGTAAGGAGGATTTGACCCGGTTATGCCCCAAGCACTCCTGGAACAACAACCTGGCCGTACTGGAGTGTCTCCAGGACAAGAAGGAGGTGAGGTGTTGTTTGTTAGCGGGGACAGGGTGCTGTGTTTTCGGGGAGAACGCTTGGGTGTGCCTTGGTGGAAAGAACAGTTAGCATGTTAGCTGTTAGCCGCTCTTCTGTGATGGAACGTCACGCCAAAGTGTGCTTGGAAAACCAGCATTTTAATAGTTATACTTGATTATTTAACGTGACACGCACTGTAGTGGAAAAAGGAAACATATATTTAGAGTCACCAGGGTCCACTCTTTAATTCGGCTTGATGAAACACCACGAAACCCTTGTATATTCTTTACATCTTGCACGTTTTTGAATCGTTGTCGAGGCATATTATAAACACATGATATGCAAGCCGCGAGCGCTCCTATGATGGAACATCACGCCAAAGTTTGCTTGGAAAACCAGCATTTAAATAGTTATACTGTCTTTTTTTAATGTGACACGCGCTGTAGGGGAAAAACTGATATTTTAGAATCAGCTGAGTCCACTGTTTAATTCGGCTTGATTAAACACCACGAAAGGCTGTTTTAACACTCGCAGTTACTAGTAACTTTGTACACATATAAACACACGATATGCTGATATTAGCCAGCCGCGAGCGCGCCCGTGATGGAACGTCACGCCAAAGTGGGCTTGGAAAACCATTATTTTAATAGTTATACTGTCTTATTTAATATGACACGCACTGTAGGGGAAACCTGAAACATATATTTAGATTCACCAGAGTCCACTCTTTAATTCGGCTTGATTAAACATCACGAAAACCTTGTATATTCTTTACAACTTGCACGTTTTTGAATCGTGTTGCCTCATATGTCCTGTTTCTGAGGCAACTATTGTACTTTTTACTTAAAACACATGACATGCTGATTTGGTATGCAGTGTTATTAATCTACACACAATTTTACTATCGAAATTTGGTCCGCACTGACAAACGACAACACCAAAATGATCTTGCATGTATTAAAACACAGGCTTAAATAGTAAACATTGTAATATGATACTTGGAAAATATCAATTTTGCATAACCAGTACTTTTACTTTTGATATTTCTAGCTGATGGTACTTTATATTTATCTGAAATAGTCCATTGTGCAGAATGATTACTTTTACTTAAGTCACATGGTCAAATCGGGACTTTTACTCGTGTTTAAAGACGGTAATAATTCTACTTTTACTTAAGTAAAGGAGTACTTCTCCCAACACTGATCACCTATAATTACAGCATTTCGTTTTAATTAAAGACTGCAGTATTACACAGCAGTTAGCTCTACTACCTTGTCCGTGACACTTAAATAAAGTTGTTATTGACTGTGTTGGGGTAGGCTGTTATCACGTTAAAGTGAAGCAGACACGACAGATTAAATCCATTTTATTGTCTGCAGGGACTCTCCTTTTCTCCCCTGGGAAAGGACATCAGGGCCCGAGGCAGCACCAGAGTTTCGAGTCACTAATGTTTTTAGGGTAGTAAATGTTGTCCTGACATGTTTAGGCACCACAAGATGAGAGAGACAGATAAAAGTCTTCTTCCGTGTTCGATGCTTCTGCAAATAAAACCTACCATGTGACTGATTTCTGTAGAACAACACATTGCAATGCAAGTCTTACACTGGATAAATACTGAATTTGCATATGCACAAGTATTGTAAAAGTTGGGCTTCTCGATTTCAAGAACAGTTTCTTAACGATAAAACGATTTGCTTTTTATAATCAGATATTCAAATGTACTCTGTTCTCCCTTTCATGATGCTTTCAACTTAAATCCAACCAATAGCTTGTGAAGCAACGATAGTTATATTTTAAAGTGCAGGTTTGTACTTAAATTCTCTTTTAACTAAATTAGCAAAATGTCTGAGTGCAATTTCACAATATTTCGCAATATTGTAATTCACAAGTTGACATCCAGCATATATTCTTGTGCAACCGTAGCTTAAAGTGATCTAATCTCTGATCAAAATGAACGTTATTTGGTTGCAAAATAATCAACAACTTTTACTATAAGGCTGCTACTAATCCGTTAATAATTTAGACGTTCTTTTTACTCCCAACATTTTTATGAAAAAGTCTTATCGGTCTATTTATTGGCAAAACACACATATATATAGTCTCATTATAATTAACAGAGGGAAAGCTGCATGGAAGTAGCAACATTTGAGCAGTTTTGTAATGCATGACAGTTCATATTTTGTCTGTTGACCAACCATAACTATAATTTGACACCCATTCGACTTATTTATACACAATAAAAACGTAATTTGGTGCACATACACCCCTCATATACCCACTTAATAAATACATAAAACAAAGAAAAAGCAGGAAATGGCACCATTAGAGCAGCTGCACGGATACGCAAAGTTTGGGCATTTTTTTCTCGTGCATGACGGGGAATATTCGCCATAAATGACTAAGGATTCGTCAGCCTTTCTACTAATTAATCATCTGCATTTTAAGTTGAATAACGGTGACTTTTTGGTTTTGTTCACACACATCTTCACACTGAGCGTGTCTGTTCACGGAGATTCCAGATCCACTGGTAGTTGTTTGAGGAAGGTGGAGGATGACTCAATATTTACACACTGACTCACACTGAGAGGTCTTTCCGGGACTCGTTTGTAGTTTAACTTTTCGGGCCACGAGGGTGCTGTTTGTGACCTTTAGGCTCATTTAAGTGTGTGTGTGTGTGTGTGTGTGTGTTCCCCCGCTTCTTTAAGCTCATTAGCTGCTAGTTGCAGACTGAGGGATCTGTATACGCTGCAGCAGATTACAGACAAGCCTCGGTCTGTGCCCCTTCATCTGCTTACTCTAAATCACAAGACATCTCCCCTCCGGTGGCTAAAGGGTTCATGAAGTGCTCAAGTTTTACAGCCGGGATTTGTAGAAGTTAGATTTTAAAGGAACAAACGTTGTAGGACAGATTGTAAGAAAAACGGCTCAACCTTTGATTGATTTAAAGGTCACATGACATGGCCATTTCTACTGATCATAATTCCATTGTTGAGGTCTACTAGAATAGATTTATATTGTTCAATGTTCCAAACTCACATTGGTTTCTCATACAGCATCTCTGTATAGTATGTGTATTCACTCTCTGTCCTAAACGGCTTGTTGGAGCTCCTGCCCCCCCCCCTCCCTGTGAGCCCAGTGGCCCACTGGCCAGACAGCGAGACACAGCGAATCCCAGCCCGAACACACACACACACACACACACACACACACACACACACACCCGCAGCCTGGCTGGGAGTTTGTGTGTGTGTGTGCTCACACACCGACTCACAGACTCGCCGCGTCCCGCTGTCTCAGGGAGGAGAAATCGGCGGAGCTGCAGCTGAGAAAAGATTGTGTGTGTGTGGAAGTCCATTTGGACCAATCCGCGGACTTCCTCACACACACACACCGTAACAGCTCCGCGGATGTAACGTAACGGCTGCACGGATTGGTCCATTTGGGTATGGGCACGTCACTGTACCCAGAAATCTCCAACGAGGCGTTCTGGGGCAGCACAGACAGGTGTTAGAGTTGTACTCCCTACAGGGTGTACTTTGAGGGTTTGTGACTCTGCACACCGTTTACATGCAGAAACTACATAACACAAGGGGACGGGTGATAACCAGAAAAGCGTGACATGGGACCTTTAAAAGGTCTTATTTTATAATTATGATTTCTTTTTTTTATTATACATAATTATGTATATTTATTATCATTATAACCTATTTGGAAGAAGTCTCTCTTTGTTGTGGGAAATTGTGACGAGCACACCTTGTGATATTTTCCAGGCTAAACAAAGAAAAACAATCAACAGATGAATCGATAATGGAAACGATAGCAGACAAAGCACTAAAATGTCACGTTTGTATATGCAGAGCAACGTTTGTGTCCTGTTTGGCATTTTAAGTGGAGCGATAACAAAAATATGCAAATGTCATCACGTGGCAGTTTTGTTTTCTGGGCGATTTCTTTATCAACACCATTAAATACCCTTTAATGTCTCTGTAAATGATGTGTTCAAAGTCATGTTTACCACTTAGAGTCCTCCTGCTGATGTTCAGGTGTATATCAGTATGTAGTGTCTCTACTTTAAAGAGTCCTCTCCTGCTGATGTTCAGGTGTATATCAGTATGTAGTGTCTCTACTTTAAAGTGTCCTCTCCTGCTGATGTTCAGGTGTATATCAGTATGTAGTGTCTCTACTTTAAAGAGTCCTCTCCTGCTGATGTTCAGGTGTATATCAGTATGTAGTGTCTCTACTTTAAAGAGTCCTCTCCTGCTGATGTTCAGGTGTATATCAGTATGTAGTGTCTCTACTTTAAAGAGTCCTCTCCTGCTGATGTTCAGGTGTATATCAGTATGTAGTGTCTCTACTTTAAAGAGTCCTCTCCTGCTGATGATCAGGTGTATATCAGTATGTAGTGTCTCTACTTTAAAGAGTCCTCTCCTGCTGATGATCAGGTGTATATCAGTATGTAGTGTCTCTACTTTAAAGAGTCCTCTCCTGCTGATGATCAGGTGTATATCAGTATGTAGTGTCTCTACTTTAAAGAGTCCTCTCCTGCTGATGTTCAGGTGTATATCAGTATGTAGTGTCTCTACTTTAAAGAGTCCTCTCCTGCTGATGTTCAGGTGTATATCAGTATGTAGTGTCTCTACTTTAAAGAGTCCTCTCCTGCTGATGTTCAGGTGTATATCAGTATGTAGTGTCTCTACTTTAAAGAGTCCTCTCCTGCTGATGTTCAGGTGTATATGAGTATTGCTATATATTTTTTAATAATACAGAAAGAACACAAAATGTAAGCAAGTAATTGAGCTGTATGAAATGTTAATTTATCAATATTGTATATTTTTTCTAACCCTATTTTCAAGATCAAACCAATATTCTTACGCAGCATACGTCCATAACACTGATACATTATCCAGCCTTTTCTTGATATTTCATATATTGTGGTCCTAATAATGTTTTTTTTACTTTACCTGACTAAAGATTTTGCTTTTGCACCAAAGAAACTTTCCTGGAAA